ATGTCAGTGCTTTCATTGTTGAGTTCAAGTCTGGTAAACAGGGTTAATTGTGATGTGACACCTTGCTGGCACATGTTAGCCAGCAGGGGGTGCTGTGAGAGGGCGGCACCACACGGCAACCTGTCAAGGCTGTCCTCGGTATGTCATGGCACAAGGACTGGGGGGGCGGGGGGCACAGATCTCTGGCTGAGCTTAAGTCACAGAGGGCCAGGGGGGCAGTGGCCACACAGCTGCTCTGAAGATTAGTGACAGGCCCGGCCAGGACACTGTGACATTGTCTCTGGACAGGAATGCAACTTTAGGCAAGCTTATAAGGTATATTCACAGGATATGAATATAAATAACCCTAATTATGCTGTAATTGCTAGCTATGTCTGTTTCCTGAAATTATACAGCAGTAATTGTGATGTATGTGCTGTTTCAGCCTTACCCAGTGGTACAGTGTTACGCAGCATTAATCAGGCGATGCTTTCTCTCCCCTGAAGAGCAACTTCAGGCCTTTCCTCTATGGCTGAGTCAGCACCGGCTCCGTAGCCCCCGCCAAAGACCCCCGCGAGACCCTGGGCCTCACTCCCCCCACCCAAAACACCCTCTACACGGCAGGACAGCAGATGAGAGTTCTTTATAGCCTGAGTGACTGGTGCCAGCCATGCGCGTTGGCACTCAGCTCTCTCTGAGGGCTGCCCCCTGGCATTGAAGTGGCCTGGACTTGTGTGACCCGTGACACATTGTTCCTCCAGGACTGGATTGTCTGTGACCTGAGAGGGGCGCTCAGTGGGCAAATGCATGCGGCGTTTGGGGGCGTTGTGCATCTGTCTATTTGTGGAACCTTCTGGTGTTTGCTGCAGGACGTTCTGCTCACTGTTGCATTGTTTTTCTCTGAATGGCCATGTGGGGGCAGTGCTGGCTGTGAAGACGGTGCTCAGACCCAGGGCTCTGAAGCCGAGGCAGCCTTCTGCTGTGGTCTCCTGCATGGGGAGGGTCGGGTGGGGGGGGGGGCATACTTTTACAGTTGAGACAGATTGCTATTGATTTGCCGGCCTGTGCGTATGGCAACCGTCAGCACATAAAGCCATCCACCTGACCCGAGCGTTGCTCTGTTTTTAAATGTCCGCCGGGCGGCTGCTGCATGCTGTCCTCACGTGGTTCTCGTCCTGCTCGGTATGCCATCACGCCGCATGCACACACGCCTCCACCGGGGGTATGGCAGGTCCGTGTTCTCTGTGAGCCTGGGCTGTGACATACCTTGTGGGGGCTGGGGGGGGGGGCAGCACTGCATCTTCACGCCTCCAGAGGTGGGCTTTTAAATCCTGTCTGAGTGGAGCCTGCAGCTTCTCCCTGTTTTCTCTGGGTGCTCCAGTTTCCCCCTACAGTCTAAAGACATGTGGGTGTGTGTATTTTTGTGCCTCTTAATGGCAATTAATCTGTGTGTCCTGTAATAGCCTGGCATCCCATTCAGGGCATCCCCTGCCTGGTGCCCAGTGCTTCCTGGAATAGACTCAGCGTGGCCCTGGTTACGATAGGTGGGGAAGCTGCTGGCATTATGATTGGGGTCCGTCGTGTGACTGGGAGATGAGAAGCCCACTGGCTGCCCTGCGACCACGCTGACGCCGTCTGTGGGGGCATGTCCGGCCCCTGGGGCTGCCCGTCCGCGTGCGTCACCCTGAGGGAAACACTGCCCGCTTCTGGGTTCTTGGCCACCGTCGGTGGAGCCGGATGAGAGTGAGTCACCTGTTTCTCACTGAGCGGCACCATGAACCTGCGAGGCTCTCTGGGCCTGAATCCCCCAGACTCCGGCAGCCGCGCCCAGCGGCCCCCAACCCTCCAACCCTCTGTCACCAGCTTTGTGTCACTGGTGATGAACACAAGCGTCGCCTTTGTGGGGGACTCCTCATGCGGAGACCTGTGTTTGCACAACTGCTTCATGCTGACAGCCGCTCCCTGCCCACAGCTACCATGGAAACCAGACTGGCGGTGGGCTACCTGTGCTGTTTTCACAGCCAGCATCACTATCTGCAGGCCAGCCACAGAAAGCCTGCCGCTTTCCCGTCCATCTCACCCTGCCAACCCCAGCACCATTAATCACTACTCCAGACAGTGCTAATCTATCTCTCTCTCTCTCTCTCTCTCTCTCTTTCTTTGTCCCCTCTTCCCTCCCTCTGGCTCTCACCCAGACCCTCCACTAGTTAGAGGAGGGGTCGCAGATCATTAGCTGTGCGCAGGCCCCAGTGGCCCCCGCCTCAGAGTGATGAGCCTGCATTCTGCGGCAGATTCAGGTCGATGCACTCTCTCTCTCTCTCTCTCTCTCTCTCTCTCTCACACACACACACACACACACACATACACAGAAGGCTGAATGCAGCATGAGGAGAGCAGCAATGATGAAATGTTCCTAATAAGGGTGGTGATAGGTACAGAAGGTGTGTGTCTGTCTGTGTGTGTGTGTGTGTGTCTGTGTGTGTGTGTGACAGTATCGCTGCTGACTCAGGGCCCAGCATATGCTGGGGGTGGGGATGCTCAGGGCAGGAGGGAGGCCCTGGGGTGGCGCTAGCCGTCTGTCAGCCTGGCTTTGCTCCCCAAACTGCGTGATGGCGGCGTCTTATGTGTCGGTGGCGATGAGGCCCATGCATGTCTGTTCGGGTGTTGGATGTAAAGGCCGCAAATACACATGTGACATCCAAGCCTGCCGCCTTGCTGAATGTGAGACCTGCGTGCGCAGCCCCCTCGGATCGATGGGAGCAGTGTTGGAACGCTTTTAGAAGGAGCGCCGCAGGCAGGGCATGATGGGAGTGCTGACCAGGCAGATCTGATGCTCTGAATCACAGCGCGGTGGGGGAGGGGTCACTCCTGCCTCACCCTCACAGGACAGGCCAGGGCGGTGGGGGTTAAGCCAAGCCGTGGGCTGGCGGGCTGGTCCCTGCCTTCCCCGCCTGTGTCTGTGTGCCAGCGTACATGCGATACGTGCAGCGTGAAATCACGCGTGTATGTCTGTCTGCGCCTGTCTGCCGCAGTCCTGCCCTCTCTGCCAGCCCGCATGAATAATTGAGGTTCTCCGCGGGCAGATATTCCCGGCTCCGCATTACAAAGGCGGGGAGAGGCGCATAGATGCATAAATGAATTCCCCGCTCTGGCCAAAGAATGAGAGAATCTTCATCTGCCTCCGCATTTGCATTTCTGATAAATTAAAAAAAAAATACCTGCAACCCTAGCTGTCGCATGCAGCAGGAAGAGGCCTTAGACTGCTCTCATCGATCTTCGGGGGAGATGGATGCGCAGGACTTTGCTGTGAGCCAGGGCAGCTGCAGAAACGCCGCACAAGAACAAGAAAACCAAAATGGAGGACAAAGCAAACATTGAGGTTGAAGATCTAGGGGGATAAATCATTCTCCCCCCCCCCTCATTTCTCCCCAATTTGCTCAGTCTCAGGCGAAGTTCTGCATTCAGGTGAAAATCAATGAGGCCCTGAGGTAAAATGCGCACCCTGTAGCGGTTATTAGAAGCACTACCTCTAACTTAAGTCAGTGTGAATGCATTCGGAGCTGGACGCCTACAGCCACCAGGGGGCGATGCTCCATCTACCCACTCTCCATGAGACCTCTTAGGAAAGACCCTATGTGTATGTGTATATATATATAATATATACCCAGAGAGCTACCTTCTCAAAGTTAGGTTGTGTGGCCCAGCTTAGGAGCCTTGTGGATAAACAAAGGCAGGAAGGAAACGAGGGGGTCAGGATGACTCCAGCGGTATCTGTGTGTCAAGGTTGATTGCGACCCCCCCTGTTTGACTGTGGCCATAAGGGGTCAGGGCGCAGGCAGGTGCTGGAGGCCAGGAGGGTGGAGAGGGGCAGGCAGGTTACGGTTTAACGTAATGGAGCCTAACATCAAAGTGTGATCAGAGATGGCATGACTGACTAGCGCCAGGACAGAAGGGCACTAGATTGCAGTAGATTATAGCAGATTACCCCTCCGGGTCCCCAGGCACTGGAACATTAGCCACTCCCTCTGCTGGGCATGGGAAGCACTGGCTGATTGCTCTCAGACGTCGGCTTCTCCAGGGTGGGTTGAGATGCTGCAGCTGTGGGACGTGCTGATGTTTGCCCGCACTGAGGCATTCAAACGCATTCCTGAAGCCAGCTGGGTTGCCGTGGTGACCTCGGCCCACGAGGCAGGAAATCTCATTCGGTGTGGCCTCCGGCATGAAGCTGTGCCGTCCCAGAATGCATCTCTCAGGCACGCGAGGAGAATGCTACAGCAAGGGTAGCCAGCATCCTCTCCACTGCAAATCCGTCCTGACCTGCACAGGGAGTGGACAGGATGTCAGTGAGCCACAGGGTCACCGGGGACGGGTGCCTGGTTGCGGCCTCGGGCGTGGCTTCCTGTGCAGCTCCACTAACAAAGAGCCCTTTGAGTTGCCAGCAGACAGCCTGGCACGTGGCAGTGCCACACGCAGGGGCGTCCTCATCCAGAGCGGAATGCCCCGTTCGGAGGTCTTACCCACCTCGTTTCACGATGCCCCTGTTTGCTTGTACAAGTAGAAGAGGGAGAGAGAGAGAGGCCCTCAGTACCTTTAAAGCCATAATGAAGTGCTTTTCTGATCAGGCAGTTTAGAGGTGACCTTTAGCATAGGTTCTAACTCTCATTGGCGCTACCCTTTTCAACTTGTGCTGAGCGCTGGTGACACATCTTCTGGGGGTCACTGCCTCGTGCTGTTTTCTTGTGTGTGTTCCTCCCTCCTGCAGTTAAGTCCCGAGCTGCTCTGGGACATGGCAGGCGTTCAAGCAGACCTCGCAGCTCCTGGCTGCCTGAGCTGCGTCCTCTGCGCGCCTTTTATTGCCCGTAATGTAGCGCCCTGGGAAAGTGTTGTGTTTTTCCCCCTGATTTCCGCCTAAGCTGCTCATCTGCGCCTCACGCTTCTGCTCGCTAGCCATGTGAATCGGCTCCTTTGTGTGACGGGTGCGATTTCATTGCAGATGGCTGCGGCCGCTTCTTTCCTTTCAGAACTTCCAGGCTCTGCCCCGGCTGCCCGTTCGGATCGCCAGGAAGCCGGACGTGGAAGGTGAAGCCGCCGGTGTGTCCTGCAGGGTGATAGAGGGGACAGAAGTGTCACATCTCGCAGCTCGGGGGGGGTGCCAAAAGGCCCGGCGGCCTCCCGCACCAGTGCCGCTCTTTCAAAATAAGAACCCTGAAAATGTGAGAGGTCCGGAAGCGGTGACTCAGCAGAACTCGCTCAACGGAAGGTCATGTGACGTTTCCATTTTCATGGACCCTGTATCTGGCTCTTGTTTCTGGCCCGGGCTGATGTGATGGATCACAGACGGGCCAGTGCCAGGTGCCTGATACAGCCAGTTTCTCTCAGATACAGTGCCAGACAGAAGCCTTGACACGCCTACTTGTTTTTCAACAAGACAGCGACCCTGAGCACACCTTGAGGTTATGTAAGTCATGTATTATCTTGTGAACAAGAAGAGAGATGGAGTTCTGTGACAGATGCCTGCCTCCCCACAATCCCCCGACCTGAACCCTATAGACCTGGTTTGGGATGAGTTGGATTGGAGAGTAAGAGCAAGGTAGCCAACTCGTGCCCAGAAGTTGTGGAAACTCCTTCAGGCCTGTTGGAGAAGCATCCCAGGTGGCTACATCTGGAAGCTGGTTGAAAGAATGCAGAGAGTCTGCAATGCTGTCGTCACAGCAAAAGGGGGCTGTTTTAAAGTGTCTAAAATTTAAGAAAAATGTCAAACACTTCTGGTCGTTGCAATATTTGATATGTATTACTTCATTACCTCGATGCATAACATAGCTAAAATAGAGACAAATGTATTAAAAGCAGGTGTGTCCAGACTTTTGACTGGTAGCTGCTCTCCTGCAGTTATTTCTTAGGAGGCCAAACCGCTGTCTCCCCCCCCCCGGTAATATTCAGGAAGAAGGCCCATATCACGCACCCTCCATCATTTCTTTCTTTTTAGTTCTTGCAAGATGAGGACTTAATTATTTTTCTTCTCTTCATTTAAGAGAGGAGCTGTCCCCTAGTTAACTTCTTATACTAGTCATATTTATAGAATCTCCGATTAATTAAAGCACAACGTGACAGATCTTAGTACGCTGAGAAATAAGTCAGAGGGAACTGGAGGACTGTTTCAGTGCCACTCCAGTGTCCTTGTAAGGGTAGGAAGGGCCCAAACGCACAGGCGGACTGTTTGGGGGAGGCCAGCCTTGTCAGGTAATATTGTGGTGCACTGGAAGTTGTGTAGAATGATAGGGATCAGTGTGTCGTGCATGTGCGTGATCATCCGTGCATGTGCTATGACACGAGTTTGCGTCATCATTTTGCCTTAAAGACGCAAAGAATGCTCTGTCTGGTCCTTCAGGGGATGCTGCGGAGATGGTGACAGTCCAGCCACGCTCCATGTTTCTCCCCCAGGAGGGCTGGACCTTCCTGGCTGCAGGTGAGTTCACTTTGGTGCTGGTGAATGTGTGTGTGTGTGTGTGTGTGTGATCATACTGTGGTTTGAGGAGCACAGTGCTTAAGACTTATGCTGCATTCCATTTGAACTCGTAAATCATAAATTCCAAGTTCCTAATCGGAAATTTCGACTGGAATGCCCCGAATATGGAATTCCGACTCATTAACTTGGAGGAATCGACACCCGCGAGCTCAGAATTCAAGATGGCTGCGCCCTTTATCAACAGAAATGAAAGTTGTAGTTTTATATTGTTTATTAGCAGTTATGACTTATTTGTGGCTTATTAAATCGGTCATGCACACAGTGTAGATGTGTTGTTACGGTGTTTTATGCTTAAAATACCGCATAACGTGTTGTTATCCACTGATGTTGGTAACAATGGCTAAAAATTTACCAGGCTAGAACTGGGACCCGTTTCATTAAGCAGGATTTCTTGCTGAAGCGGACAACTTGCCGGAATTAAGGTAATTGTGTAATAGTGACTAAAAACCTCAACTGTCACTTTTAGAAAACGCAACTGTAGCCAAGCATGACCTCAAAGAGCAGTTGAAACGGTCAGCCTGCCCAAGAGTCAATGCCAGAAGCGATGATGCATTTCCTGAAAGCTTTTAATAAGATGGGGGGTGGGTGGTGGTCCTGCAAATGGTAATACAAGCAAGTCCACTGCCCAGGGGAAGCTAGAGCCCCATGGCTTGAGCAGGACATGCAGGTAGTATGTGGCTAAGGCAACTCAGTAAACCGCCTTTAGAACTGACACTGCAGAGTCCAGATAAGTTACTAATTGTTATTTATTTGGCAATATGAGATCCCATTGCAAGAAAGGTATGTCAGAGATATTGTGAAAAACACAGTGTGAAATACAATACGACTTAATAAAATATTGATAGAGATATATTTAGAGAGATGTTTCATCGGACTGTAAATGGAATTCCCCGTTTCCCAGCTGGACGCTTTTTCTGGCTTCTTAGACTTTATTTAACATGGTTATTTTTAAGCTGCCGTTGCTTTGCTTGACTTGCTCTCTCAGAGCTACTCGAACCCGGTGCACTCCCCTCACTGCTCACTGGGTTTTATCACCAGCACCAGCACTAACTACTGGTTGTGAGACTCTCACAGTCACTAAAAAGCGCACCTGGACAATAGTGAGGGCCAGAGGTCGCCAACATTTTCCGGAAGAGACTTCCTCTATGGTGACTGTTGTCTCTCAACTCCAGGGCTGGGGGTTCGAATGCCAGCTCTGCTTTGTGTGTGTGACTTTTGTAAGGAATCCACCTACAGAGTCTCGTTTCAGACTCTGGTTTATTGAACAGCTAAAATAATATAATGTAATACAGTGTAGACATACACTGGGTATTGAAAGGCAGCTCAAATACGAATTAAAGTCAGTTCTTCACCCCCCTTTATTCCCCAAAAGCCCCCCCCCAACAAGGTGCTGTGTGTAGGTGTGGTGAGTGAATTTGCAGATAAAGGGTGACCTCATGGAGTGTGAGGATCCTGAAACAGGGAAGAGGCAGTAAATGGCAGAGACTTCCCACGAGTGCAAGTGGTACCTCAGTCTGGCTGCTAGCCTCCTCTGTCCATTGTAAATTCAGTTACTTCCTTATCATCTTAGTGGTTGTGACTGGAACCCCCATTCTCTCCCTAAATTTCCCCATGATCATAATTTGACAACACTGTCTGTATTCAAATGACCGACCTAGAACATTGGGCCATATTCACTACTTTTCCTTACACTTTGCATATTCTCCCTCTGTCCTCACAGTCCACAGATACACAGCTGGCTTACTTCCTGTCGTGTGAGTGTGTATGTATATGTCCATACGATGTCCAGGATGGAGCCTAGCATATGCTGCCTGTGATAGACTCCAGGCCCAACAGTGACCCTGACCAGGATACGTAGAAGATGGATAGTTGGAAAGCAAATTCCCTGATTCCTTCCCATTGTCTCTGTCTCCCTTCACCTGAATTCTTGGCCAGAATGTGTGTGTGGTCAGGCGATGACTCGGAGCCGCTTCTCCGTGAGCTCAGGAGTCTCGGCGCTTGGCGTCAGAGTGAGGCCTCTGGGCCGCATGTGGCATCCAGCTCTTAATGATGCCAGCAGCCGGCCAGAGTCTCAACCCAAGAGTCAACTTGCACTCGGCGCCGCACGCTGCTCTGGCTGCTGTGCGCGTCACGCGTGGTCTTCATGCGGACGTGGACGGGTGGCAGCGAGGCCGACGGCGATGATGAAGATGACGGTGTGCTTCTCCCTGTGCCCAGACTTCTGCCAGGTGGAGCTCCGTCTCCTGGCCCACCTGTCCTCGGACCCCGAGCTGCTGCGTATCTTCCAGGACCCCAGCGCTGACGTCTTCGCCATGTTGGCCTCCCAGTGGTGAGCCCATGCAGACCTGCCCTTTATCTGCCCACCATTTGATAGAAGCTGCCCCCTCTGCCGTTCCGTATCTATGGGAAACTAGGTACAGCACATGTCTGTCTAAGCAGCTGGCTTCACAGACAGATCCCCCCCCCCCCCGGGACTATTTGCTCTGACGTCTCTGGTGTCTGTTATCATGTGACCATGTGCCTAGCAAGGGCGCTGTGCTCAGGGCAGCGCCGAGGTTCTGTGGCTCAGTCTCTCCCCCTCTGTCCCATGTGACTGCGCAACAAATCTGACCCATACTGCCAGTTCAGGGCTTCTTCCCTGTGATCCGGGGGATGAAGTGGCTGATGGCTGCAGTTTCTTTGAGGCAAAAGAATGAGGAATGGAGAGGGATCGGATGCTGGTGATTTGTTATGGTGTCAGCTGAGAATGTAGCATATTTCACAGGCAGGGTTGCCATGCCGACCACCATCACGGTCACCATTGTGTGCGTTTCAAAATATGGGGACCGCTCAGATGCGCACGGACAACCATCTGTGGGTCACTTGTCTGTGGAGAACAGCAGGATGGCTCTCGTTTCCATGGTGTCCCAGCCCGTGAAATGATCTCAGCTGCTCTGTTAGAGAAGAATCTCTTAATCCTCCTTTGCTCTTACCATTTGGCCGTCAGCAGGTGGCGCCAGCCATGCTGCCCGTGCGTGTGCACGTACACATCTGTGAAGTCCCATCCGTCTGAGCTCACATGCACCCCGCGTCCTTCTGCCTGGCTTTAGAAAACAGACACGTGGTTATGATGTTGCAGCGTCCCTCTGTTTGTCTTGGGTGCACGCGAGTCGGCCTGAGAGGCCGTCCGAGCTGGAGGTTCAGCTGGACCCGTGGTTGTTTTTTTTGTTCTCGTTTTCGATCCTCCTGAAGGTGAGCTGAGGGCCACATTCACACAGATCCTGCTTGCAGACTAAGGGGCCCGTAGCCATAGAAATGGCCAAAGCTCCACATCGGTGCTATGGACGACTTCACTGATGTGAGCACGGTGGTAATTAGATTCCTCTGGTCTTCACACTGGCCGACTGGCCCCAACACCATTCCCAGCCTGTTGCTGAGCTGCATAACAACCTCGCAGCAGTGCCTGCTCACCATCCGGCTCTCTTTGTGCTCACTGTCGTCACTCGGCCCGTCGATGCGGTCACCGGGGCGGCCTGCCGCCGCTCGTCTGGGCCCCCGCCTGGAGCCTCATCTGGCTCGGGAGCATTGCCACACAAATCACATGGGGGGGGGGGGGGGGGTTTCCCGGCAGGCGTTTCGGGCCAGCGGGATCGATATGGCTGTCTGTGCCGGAGGTGTGTCTGGGCCTACACCAGGAAACGGAGGGGGGGCAGAGACGGGGGGTGGCGGGGATCTGCACTTAAGCAGCTGTGCGGACGGGAGCCAGGAACGGGCGAGTGCAGCGGGAGGGTTTGGTGTTTCCTGAAGAGGCTGCAGTGCGTGTGTGTGTGTGTGTGTGTGTGAGGCTGGATACAAGAGGTACTTTAATTAAGGATGGATGGATCATCTGTGGGGTGCTGGCAGCCTGCAGGATGTGATGTATGAGACGCGACTTGGGCTCCCTCTCCTCTGCCGGGAAGAAAGGTGCCCTCTACATGCCCGGCCGCAGAATCGGGGACGGGCGTCCTTTATTCTGGGGCAGCGTATCACCCTCCTATTACAGATGGACCCCCTCTGGGGGGTCGGCCCCACTGCTGTCTGGCTGAGCTCTCACTCTCCTCCAAACGCTTGTGCGCTTCAACTGTCGCTTTGACCCGTGCGTCTGATTGGCTTCATGCTTGGGTTTATTTGACGGTAGCTGTGGCTGAGCTGTTCTGAGGCTGTAGTGGAGACATGCAGAGGACGCTGTCAGTGCTCGCGTGTATCGCAGCTGCTGGTTTTTTGGCTTCCTTCTCGTGTCGCACTGGCTTGCTTTTCGATTGTGATATCAGTGACATCTGCAGCAAGCTTGCTAGCAGGAAATAGATTTCCTGGTCTTTTTATGAAGATATGCAGTGTCAGTAACTGGTTACATCTGTCATGAACCTGCTATAGTTGTCCAAGGCCACCGCGCAAGGTCGCCACCCCATGGCTGCTGGCATAACGCTCACCCCCCCCCACATGCTCGTTAAACAGGCACGTTCAGCTCTTCGCCTTGCTGTATTTACGTGCTTCTGCAGCCAGGTGGTGTACCTACCTCCCCCAATGCCCTGACATTGAATCTGCATCGCTCACACCGGCCAGACAGTCAGGGACACATGCCACAAATTCAATTAGCAGCAGAAGTGGTGAGGACAGCCCCCCCCCCTCCTGGCTTCGCTGTCTGTTTGTTTCCTGCGGCGGAGGGGGGGGCGGGTGAGGTGGGGGCTTAGGGAAACAACAGCCGAACCCATTGGGAGCATTTATTTAGAGCAAATCTTCAAAGCAGGACTTGATCTCGATGGCGAACTGAGGTTGGAGCCCAAAACTATCTCTTGATCCTGGGGGCTTTTCAGGGACACCTCCCAAAACTCGCCTGTACATCTGTGCTGTCCTGCGACTTCCAGAGCAGAAACCAGATGAGGACTCGACGTCACCTTATGAACATGACCCGTGTCACACAGCCTGGCCTGCTTGTGAGGCGTGGGGAGACCCCCGGAGTAAATCACAGGCTGATAAATCAAGACAGGACGCCGACTGGGCTGGGAGCGGCGCCATTACGTTACCATTAGCTCAGCGCTGGGGTCAGGGACGGGGGAGGGGGAGGGGGAGGAGGAGGGGGCAGTCTGGGTGCACGTGCTTCGTCCAGTTGTGTCGCTGCATAGGACGACCAAGAGCAGCAGCCTAACCAAAGACCCAGAGCTCCGGAAAAGCAACAACCAGCCAATGGCACGCCTCACGTGATGAGCTGACAGGCAGATGAGTTTCATAAAATCTGCAGTGGTTGTGTTATGCGTAGCTGTCATATCTTTGGCAGAATGGTACCAAAATGGCCTTCCATGTAGATGGTTGCTGGGAGCTGCCCCAGCCATGCACTGTCCTCCTCAGGGCAAAGGAGCAGCCGTGACTCATGGCGAGTCTCTCCATCGCGCGTCCCAGCTATTGGCGTAATCTGTGGGAAATCATCACCTCCTTATGTCAACGGCTGTGCTACAAATGCTGCCTCAGCTCATTAGTCTGAGCTTATACTGTAATTGTAGTGTTTCCATGCACTGACTGTGGCTGGATGGTCTCTGTGTGCAGAGGTGAATAGTTCTGGTCCAGAAAGTAAAAATCCAGATCAAGATTTTGTTTCCACCAACCAGTTGAGTACTCTCTGACTGTTGCTCTTTATACTCAGCTGTTCGATTAAAACAAAATCTTGGTCCAGATTTTTATTTTCTGGACCTGGACTATACCGCTGTGCCTGTGCGTCATCTCTCCCCGCCCCTCTCTCCCTGCACACAGGAATGGGCTACCTGTGGCCCATGTGAGTCCCCGGCATAGGGAACAGGCCAAGCGCGTCGTCTACTCCGTGGTGTATGGAGCAGGTGAGGCCCTGTCTCCTTACATGGCGAAGCCCGGTTTATTTGGGATCAGGTAATAGGCCGATAAAGCCCTTTAACACAGTGTTTCCCAACCCGGACCCGGAGCCATGTTTTTGGACAACCTGGCAGGGGCCAAAACGTGAACCGCTTGGGGTCCCCAAGGAGCGCACTGACAAACACCGCTTTAGCATGTACTTTGTGTCATAAACTTCTACCCGATTCTAACCGATTAGCCTGAATTCAGCCTTTCACTGCAGCAGCGAGACTGCTGGTGCTTTTACACAGCTGCAGCCCTCGCCCCCCCCCAGGCTTCGCAAAGAGCCAGCCGGCCTCTGTGGGGACCCGGTCTGTGCGCGTCCTTCTCGCGTCCATCACCTCGCATCCAGCCTGTCCGTGTTTCAGAGCGCTCAGACGTCTTCCTGCTGTGACCCAGTTAGCGTGGTGAAGCCGGGAGCCTCACAGCAGCCCCACACGGAGCCCTTTATTGCCGTTGCTATTGGAGACGACTGCAGAGCTCGGGTGTCGGGACCACAGGCTTCCAGGCAGATGGGGGCCCAAATATAGCCTTAATATCGGAGGTGGAAAGTTCAGGTCCAGAAAGTAAAAAATCCAGACCAAGATTTTGTTCCAATCAAGTTGAGTACTCTGTCACTGTGACTCTTTAGATTTAGTTGGTTGGTTGAAGCAAAATCTGGATTTTTATTTCCTGGACTTGATCTTTCCACCTCTGCTTAGTATGAATGATTCCCCTGTCAAGGGTGCCTTGAGCTGGCTGTGTTTGACTGCTTAGGTCATGCCTTACGTCTTCATCCCCAGCACGCTCTGAGCCGCCGGTGTCCAGCCTGCCGCTCATTAACCCCCCCCCACCACCACCACCCAGCTGAAATGCCCAGAGGAGTCCGACGGCCCTCATGCTACATCGCCATTGTCCAGGTCCAATAAGTGCACTTCATACTGTCTGGGCTGCATTCTGTAAGGCTGTCAGCCACCCTAACGGTCCCGCCCGCCAGGCCTGAGCCGTACCTTATATAATATATGACGCTGGGAGAATTTAAGAGGGCTGCGGTGTGCCGCTGCTCACAGGCTGCCTGCTTTTAATACCCCTTTAGTGATTCCCCAGGGGAGTCTTATAGCCTGCACCTATACAGCGCTGGCTGCGGCCCGTGGGGGAAATTGAGTTACCTCCCACTGATGTGACAGCGCAGTGTGGGACCCGAGTGACGTGTAGTGCGATTCAGGAGGATTACGGGCAGATCAGGCCTCCGCCTGTCATCACGGGGCTGGGGGGGGCTCTCACGCAAGCTGGGAGGCACATCAGAGTCATTTCATGGAGGAGTTGGGCTCGAGTAACAAAGGGGTCATCTGCAAACTCACAGCCTCTGCCCGGATTAGCCTTCCGCCCGCTCGCTGCACCTCAGAGCTGTTTACAGCTGTGCGTTGCTGCTGCCCGCAGTACAGCGTGTGCTTCTGGGGGCCAGCAGCATTACAGGCACTGCTCACAGCTCCTCCTGGGTGAGTGTAGAGCTTGGGCAAAGAAACTGGGACAGTTAAAACGGAAGCGACCAGTCTGTGGTCAGCAAGGACAGACAGGCACGACAGCCGGGCAGCCTGTTAGCGAGGACCCCTCTGAATCCCTCACGTGGACAAACAGGCATGATGGCTGGGCAGCCTGTTAGTGAGGACCCCGTGAATCCCTCACATGGACAAACAGGCATGATGGCTGGGCAGCCTGTTAGCGAGGACCTCTCTCAAATGTGATATGGAAGAGGGACAAAAAGTGGGACCAGTAAGCTGAAGCTGAACTTGATAAGTGGGACTATTGAAACGCCTTGAGCATCACGGAAAATCGCGAGGTTTCTGACAGGAAGTAAACATTCCTACATGAACTGAATATAGCCCCTGTACCAGTAATCCTCATGCCACATGTGTCCTTGTCGTTGATGGCGCCCATGTTCCTGCGTGCGCCAGCTCCACATCCCATGGAAACCATAGCACATTGAGTATGGAGGAAGATGTCTTTCGTCGAGGTCCCTTGTGGGTGACGTGGGAGGGTGGCGTGGGCTCGGAGAGCGGGAGCTGAGCGTGGGAAACCCAGTGGGCCGGGAGCCGGGAGTCTTCCAGGAGCCGTCTGGCCGGATGTGGCTCGTTAGAAGCTGACAGCGAGGTGAAGTCAGGTCTGTTCACACCTTAACTGACAGAAGCTGTCTCTGTGCTTGGACCCTGTCCAGGCAGGGGGCGTCTCTCGCGTATCCTGGGCCTGAGCGCGGAGCAGGCGGCGCTCTTCATGGACAGCTTCTCCCAGGCATACAGGGAGGTGCAGCGCTTCATCCAGAGGACGGTCCAGCAGTGTCAGAGCCAAGGTGGGCATCCAGACCCCCGCAGGCCTGTGTGGCCGGGTTATGCTTTCTTTACCACACCAGAAAAAAAGCACATGGTGTCACTATCTCTCCATCCTTCTCCATCTCCATCCGGCTGTCTCCCCTCCATTCTGTCTCTTAGTCCTTGAAAGGGTGCTGTTGGCTGGTCAAAAGTTTGCGATGTTATTGCCATATGATCATAATAAATGAAAACAGTAATGTATGTATGTAAGAATCTGAAAATAAGGAATAGCAGTATAAGGACACGACCCTACACGAGTTCCCCTCCGCTCTAATTAGTCTTGCCTGTTTGCACATGGAAGGGAAATGCATATTGAGCTGATAATGTGACGCTCCTCTGGTCATGCAACAGGACTGGGTGTTTTCTGGAATTTGGATGGGGTATTTCTCTGGAAACTATCAGGGCGTGCGAGATGTTTCTGATTGGGACAGGGAGCAGGATATGTATCTCTGGTTCTGTCTCCCACGGGTTTGCTTTGGCAGCCTGAAGGTTTTTTCTGTAATAGGTTAGGATCCAGTGCACAGTGCTTTCCCGCTCTATCGCTGCACCTTTCCCAAAAAGCATCCATTAGAGCCGCAGATCTGTCACAGAGATGCTGCGCTGCCCGGTCCCCATTTGCATGCGATGAAGCAGCCGCAGCAGGGACTCCGAGTCACAGCGGGGGACTCTGAGTCAGAGCTGCAGTGTGGGATGGCCAGTGAGGCTCCGCATGCCCTGATTTGCCTCCTTACTGGCACCAGGACGGTCGCAGCAGCGCCAGCAGCTATCGTCTGTCCAGCATCTGCGTGAGATCCTCTCTCCAGGATCTCTGGGAGCGAGACTGGATGTTCCCACCGCTTTCCCTGGAGATGCTGGACATGAAAGGGAGTGAAAACGAAAAGATGTCGGTATCTGTATCTCAGGAGTCTGGAGCTTTCTGTGATGTACACACCGTGCCGCTGGTGGCACCTGGCTGTGGCTAACCCTACCCCCGTCCTGTGGAGGGGTCAGACTTTACTACTCTCCCCCTGCCTAAGTGTGTTATTTGGAACTGCAGTGATATGCAAGGGTGAGGGAACAGGCCCCGGCCCTCTCGTGTGACAGGAGGTGACAGCAGAGTGTTAGTCAGAGAACCCCTCAGGAGCGCAGCTGTCCATGGCCCCAGCCTGGTGACCCCCCCCACTCTCTTCCCAGGTTGTGCCCTCTCCCTCCACCTCTCCCTCTCTCCTCCACCTCTATTTTTCATCCTTTATATACCTCTCTGCCATTATTAAGGGGACGTTAAAACTGTTCTGGGGAAGATGGAGAATCCTCCCAGCTGAAGCGCCATATGTTGTTGTTCAGGGGAGGTGGAGAGTGGGATTGTGGGTAAGCTTGTTCTGCGCGGTGTTGCCAGGGTGCCGAGCAGCCCAATAAAAAAACTGGTGTTTATTTTAAACTTTAAAATAGTATTTAAAAGTATTTATTTTCTTCCTGTTCAAAGCTAAACCAAAGTGAAAGGAAAGTGAAAATGAATTTCATTTTGCAAGAGTTTCTGTTCTATGTTCTATCTTATACTTCGCTAAGAAGAAAATATTTAGAATGATTGTTGAAGTAGATTTCCTGGCCCTGTGATAAAAACAGGGTTTTTTTTCCAAGGAAAGGTTTCGCTAATGTATCTGTGTGCCTCCATTTCTCTGTTTCCTACCCTCATATTGAATTGCTTTTTCCCATCTTTCTAGGTTATGTTTTGTCTCTGATGGGTCGGCAGCGTGTTTTGCCCCACATTCAGTCCCCAGACTGCGCTCTGCGGAAGCAGGCCGAGCGGCAGGCCGTCAACTTTGTGGTGCAAGGTAGCTGCAGCCCGCTGGCCTCCCGCCACCCTGAGCGGCCGAGCTGTCTGTGTCACTCCTGTCACATGGTCACTGTGTCCGCAGGCTCTGCCGCTGACCTCTGTAAGACGGCCATGATCCGCATCCACTCTCAGCTCTCCTCCTCCCCAGGACTGACAGCCAGGTCAGACCGCTGTCCTCCTCGTTCTTCATCTCCTTCTTCTCATTTCTCTTCCTTCTGCCTCCCTCACCAAGGTGTGATCCACTGATTGGCTGGCACGGCTCTGTCACATACGTAAAAGGTGCTTTTCTTTATGTGAGGCCTCCTAGCACGATGTCCTGGCAGCTTTTTACGTCATTAAAAACATTCGTGAGAATGTGAGATTGCTTTGAGCGCTGATCTCACGGCTGCCATGGACGCGGGCTCTTTGGTTGAATAGCAGTATTGAGGAGAGGCTATTTGTAGAGTGAAACGAGCTATTTTTGCCCCTCTAAAAAAAATCTGACGTGCTAAATTGATGAAGGTGAACTTAATGGTAGGTTTATGGGGACACACTGCTGCCCTCCACTTCAAGTCCTTAAACATGGGGGGGGGGTAAGCCCACGGCCCTCGAGGCTGTCGTGTGAATTGCGTGTCTGTCAGCCTGCTATCCGTCGTCCTAATGCTCTTCGAGCGGCTCTAGCTCCCCCCGTTGGCCTTGGTGGCCCACACTCGCCTGTTTGCTTTGCGGGCTAAAACACCACACAGTTCTGCTCACTGTGAGCATGGCCCACACACACACACACACACACACATGCATGCACAAGGCCGCAACCCCCCCCCCTGCATGTCGTGCTGCCTGCTAATTATACTCCAGGGTAACAGGGTTGTGAATATATTATTGAAGTAGAGCTAATAAACAGCATTTATTTAAGTATGCTTGTGGTGCACTGAGTAAATGCCGTATCGCCATCCTCTTTCTCCTGGGATCTCTCCCTCACCTCCTCTCCTACACCCCTTGTCCACCTAGCGGACCGTAACTCTCCTTTTCCTTCTCTTTCCCCCTATTAAGCTGCTAAAAGATAGTGAGCTTGTCACATGTCTGTCAGTCTGGCTGTGGCGGGAGCTGGCATCAGTGGGGGTCTTACAGACAGACCCCCGTCTCCATTGTTGCTGGACCATAATCCGGCAGGGTTTCGGCCACCGGTCCGGCCCGCGTCCAGCGTGGTGAGCAGAGAGTCACAGATGCATGTCTGTAAGGCAGTTGTGTAACTAATGTAATTTATCAGAGCGCATGACGATGGAGTGCTGGGGAGAGCAAAGCGGGGTGGTGGTGGGGGGGGGTCCCTGTCCCCTCTCTCCATAGTAACAGGTTCCTTCCACGCTGTGGTAATGTGCCCTTTCTCCACACTGCACAGACAGAGGCTGGGTCTCATAGATACCGGCTCCAGCACTAGCTTCAGGCCAGCAGAAAGTCTGTCCTTTAGAGATCAAACTAAGTAAGAATGCCGGGGTTCAGCCACAGAAGGCCTTTTTAAAGCAGCGTAGATTCAGTAAAAATGTAAATGAAGTCAAATACAAGCCAAGGAGATGGGTTTGTGCAAAATAAATAAATGATGTTAAGGCCTTGGAGTGTTATCCTGGAATCTCCTCAAAGAGCAGGCAGATACAGGTGAGGCAGGGCTGCCTCCTTACGCTGCTCCGAGTGGCTGAGGCTGTCTGTCTCTGTTTACCAGAACACCCCCCTTCCCCGTCACGCACTGTACGAGGCCCCCGTCACTGATGCTGTCAGCATGCATTTTGTCTGCCGTCTCCCACTCTCTTCCCTTTTTCTGTTCTCCGCCCCTTGGCCCCTCATGCCCACATCTGTCTGCTCATCACTGTCCCCCGGGGCCACAGTATCCAGCTCTAACACCAGCCGCCTGCCTCTCAGCACGGTTGGGTTTTGCCCGAGTCAGCGTAATCGAGTTAAGCAGCTCTCATCTCTCGCCACTTTAAGGCGTGAAAGCCGCGGTAATGACTCCGCGGGCCTCACAGGGACACGGTAACATGCAGACCTGCTCATCTCCCACCCGTCAGGCGGATTCTCAGTCACGCAGCGCAGCCGTTATTTCCGTGCGGCTGATGCGTTGCACATTGCAATTGTTAACACGAGGCCAGGAGATTGTATTTCAGCAACATTTTCTGTGGAGAATGGCACGCTTTGCAGTGAGACCCCGGGACTGCTTCCCCCGCCTGAGACCTGGCATGTTGCAAATTGGTTACAGGAATGAACCAAACAACCCAGGCGAATTGCTTACAGAATATGGAACCCATAGTCCCAGCCTCCGTAGGGCTCGACCAGATCTGGATGGCCTATTGTGTCCGGTTAGTACCTTTATATCACAGGGACATTATGTCATAGGCCAGACAGGACGCTGCTTTGCCCTTCTCTCGATGTGCTTTGCCGTGTGTGGCTCTCACATTCACCTTAGCGAGCTACAGCCAAGCTGCAGAGGATGACAGGAAAGGGAACTATCTCTGTCGTAACTGGTCTCCCCACCAGCTCCGTCCCGTTACTCACAGCCTTCTGCTGCTAACGGCATCATCATTACCGTGGGGACGGCGATGCTGTGATTTGACCCTGTGTTGTTGGCATGCTCACATGACCAGAGGTAGGGTGCCCGGTGGGGCAGCCAGAGGGCACAGGAGAAACAGGGGAAGGCAACATTAATAAATGTTTTTAGAACAGGGGCAACCAGCCCTGGATGTCAGCAGGACCTGGTCCTGCTGCGTTGGGAGTGTGACAGCTGATAGACATGTCCCAGCCCTGCAGGTAATGGCCTGAGTGTGAAAGAGACCAGCCAGAGCGAAACACCGGCACGCCATGTGTCTTCTGGTAGCTCAAGTGAGCCACACGCTTGCTCTGCCCAGAGGCTGGGCCAAGCTGACATGGTGGTGCGCTGACCTCACATGACTTCGCAGCCCGCATCATAACCGAGTCCGTGTCCTCTGGCACGCTAGGTTGATCGCCCAGATTCATGACGAGCTGCTCTTCGAGGTGGAGGACTCTCAGCTGATGGACTTTGCGGGTGAGAAGACCCCCTATCCCCCACCCTGCATGGTCTGTGTTTATGCCTAGAGCTCTCCTTCATGTGTCTTCTGCATGTTTGCACTAGTACTGGTGAAGACCACCATGGAATCACTGCAGCACGTTGAGTGTCTGGGCATTCACCTTAAGGTAGGTCTGCTTGGATGAGTAGGACAGCACCATACTGGTGTCTGCTCACCTAGCACAAGCCCCCTTCAACCTGCCTGTAATGAATGGGTGGTCATGAACACTGTCTGGCAGCCATGGGCCTTGAGATGGTCATGAGCACATTCCTGTCTTTGGTGAGTGTTGAACTGACCAGTTAGCATCCAGCTGTGTAAGGGGGTAGCGTCACCCTGGAATGGGACATCCATGGGATGAGAGGCTTGTCAGGCCCCTGTCATTCTCCCCCAGGTACCTCTGAAGGTGGCCGTGACCAGTGGGAAGTCGTGGGGCGTCATGTCAGAGCTGCGGCTCCCTGCCGCGCCCCTCCACCCAGCTCCATGAGCCTCTATCTGGATCGCTATCGCTAGGCAACCAGGCAGCTGCTCCGTCTGCTTCCCGTTCTCCAGCTGTCTGTAACCAGGGGCAACGGCTGGAGCTCCAAACTGGATAGCTCTGGTTCCCCCCCCCCATTTTTCATTCGTTCACCATTTCTTCTTTCATTTTGTCTCCACCTTTGAGACCAAGTTAGACCAGATGAGGTCAGTTTCAGCTTTCTTCAGGTTCTTCAGTTTTAAGGTCATGAATGAAGCATCACCTGAAGTTTGACAGAATGTCTCCAAATGTAACAGATGCTCACAAAAACGTTCCTTTTACAAAGACAGGAATGATTAGCAACTGCTGATGTTAATGCTGTTGATGCTTTGTAATGTTCGCCATATTTTTCCTGAATTTGTTGTGTAAGGTGTTCATATGCTGTAAATGGATAAATACAGCATGGATAATTCTTTTTGCTGCAGAATGGCCAGTTCATCTTGCACTCTACGACAGTCCCAGATTTGGCAGCGGCGTTACCGTCCTCTCGCAGACACGCACTGCCCTCCCACTCCTACTCCTACTCCCACTCCCACGGGCATATTGCCTTCGGCCCTTTGAGCTTGTTCAGCGTATGCACACGCAGCCCCGTGAACACACACTCAGGGACACGTCACACACCCTTGCAGCAACCGTGACCAATGTCGCTAATGTAGGAGTCGGCCCTGTGGTGCACCGTGGGATCTCTGCCTTCCTGTGCTGCTGAGCTCCGCGAGGCTTAGTGTGTCCTTAACGTGGCAGTACAGCGGCTCTCGTGAGGTATATCGGTATATCGGGAAGCACAGGTAGCCCATTGTCAGGGTGCAGATCGGGGGTGTATTAGAGCCCCTGGAGCATGGTGGCATTTGGTGCAGTCCAGCATGCAGAGTAATTAAAATGTCAGGGATTCTTTATACATATCGGCTCACACCAGCCTCGTTCACATTTCAGTTGTGTTAAAGCATAGACCCACATTCCAGGGTTCGTTCCTGGTGAGTTTATTCCAGTGCGTTTTTTTTTTTTTTTTTTTGCGTGAGCTGTGTATGTTCACTGCTACAGCCCACACCCTACTGTAGCCCCCCCTCTCGATTAGGATATGGGGCCCCTCACCCCTTTGCCGATTGGGAGACGGGGCCCCTCACCCCCTTTCCCCATTAGGATATGGGGCCCCTCACCCCCTTGCCGATTGGGAGACAGGGCCCTTCTCCTAGAGCTGGGCATCGTTCAGAATTTTTCAATACCAGTACCAGAATGATACCTTGATTTCAATCTTGGTTCCTGAACAATACCTTTTTCGATACCAATATGTTTTTAAATCAGTCTCAACAACAACAAAAATACATTAAACATTACAGCACTAATCTTTTATTTTGTCATTTTGTTAGTTAATGGTTAGTTACTGGGGGAAACGATCACAATCGTAATGGGACACAGCCTTTTATTTATATTTTAACAGGGCTCTCAAGTTTCATCAAAAGTTTGGCGTGAGATCTGTTAGGGGTGCAGCGTCTGTCTCCACTTCAGACGGTCAGTCTGTGACACTTTAGAGTCCTGCCTACTGCATTCGTCGGATCTTGCTCTGCCTCTTCCACCTCGTCTGCACTCCGTATGTGTCCATCCATGTAATATCATGCTTTTAGCAGGATCACATGTAACAAATGCTATTTTCTGATTGGTTGGTACATGGCTATTAACTCTGTATAACTCGACGGAAAACTTCACTCCGTATGTCTGGGCCTCGTCCATTAATTCTCCACAAACGGGACACCTTGATGGAGGTTACTCCTTAAGGCTGGTTAAGGCTTCTCAACGTGAGAAACACAAGGTGTGGTGTGTGAGCTGTTTCAAGTGCGTGTGTCTCACGGTCAATGCATGATTGAGAGCCCTGATTTTACTTATACGACCCGTAACATATTTATAATTCATAAATAAATCTGGCCAACAGATCGATTTCTCATTTTCCTCAGAATAAAAAACGATGTAACGTTATCCAGCAAATAAGCGCTGGCACATTTCACCGCCGTGACTGGCTGGAGATGCAGGCAAAAGGGTTTCAGTCTTATTGAGGTACAAACGTAATTCCAGATTGGAACCCTATGGAGCCACATTTTTGATTTCTTAGGATTTTTTTTCCACTGTGCTGTTATGTAGCATTACGTTAGATACCCATCTTTACACAAGTACACTGCATGGTTATTAGCTCACAGACACTGAGATTCACTGTTGGGTATCGCAATTTGGCACCGAAAGAAAATTAATTCTTCAATCCTCGATAGGATTGGAGCATTTCGGTCGGGGCCAACAAAGTACCGAAGTTCAGTACATAGCCCTACCCTCACCCATTCCTGATTGGGAGACGGGGCCCCTAACTCCCTCCCCGATTGGGAAACGGGGCCCCTCACCCCTCCCCGATTGGGAGACGGGGCCCCTAACTCCCTCCCCGATTATGAGATGGGGCCCCTAACCCCCTTGCCAATTGGGAGACGGGGCCCCTCACCGATTGGGAGACGGGGCCCCTCACCCCCTTGCTGATTGGGAGACAGGGCCTGTCACCTCCTTTCCCGATTGGGAGACAGGACCCCTAGTCATACCATCCATCCATACACTAATGGGAGCACTGGAACCCTGTGGGCACAGAGCACAGGACCCCTCACCCCTTGCCGATTGGGAGACGGGGCCCCTAGCCCCCTTTCCCCATTGGGAGATGGGGCCCCTCACCCCCTCCCCAATTAGGAGACGGGGCCGCTCACCCCCTCCCCGAATTGGGAGACGGGGCCCCTAGCCATACCATCCATCCATACACTAATGGGAGCACTGGAACCCTGTGGGCACAGAGCACAGGACCCCTCGCCAATTGGGAGACGGGGCCCCTAGCCCCCTTTCCCCATTAGGAGACGGGGCCCCTAGCCATGCCAGAGCACAGGTGTCCCCCATGTGGTCAGCGTGAGCCAGCCGCCCATGGTCGTCTCTCCAGGGGATTTTTGCAGTAACACTCACACAGCCAGCCTCTCTAGGCCTTTTTTCTCATTTTATTGATACATTATGTACATCCATTTCTCTCATAATGCAGGATCTTTACATCTTTACAATGTTTCCTTTTATGCATACAAAAAGAAATGAGAAAACCAGGATTTCGTAAGCAGTCCAATGGACATTTATAAATCCAGTCTCCGCAGAACCCAACCGGTGTTTCCTGGCAGGCCAACCAGACCGCGGCTGACTGGGTGCTCCCCGCCCCCCCCCCCCCCCAGCCCACATGTACTGCAGCACGTCGTCTAGCCGCTCTGCATGGGTTTGTTACCTCACAGACACGCGCAGCTGGCCCTGGAGTTGCAGCGATAAAGGGTTCCTCAGCCGCCACCTCCAGCGACGCACTGCCTTACTGCATCACTCACACACCAGGCTGTGGAGCCTCTCTAAAAGCTCATCCTCTCCCCATTCGCACTGCACGTTTCACCCATCTCTCACGATGATACATTTTTTTTCACTGTAGGTGTGTAAAGTAATTTTTTTACCCTTAAATTGTTCTACAGGTCCTGCTACAAAAGGATAAAACATCCATGATGCTATTTACATTAAAATACACTTTACAATTTACACATATTAAAATGCCAACTTCAATTTGAACGCATATTCAGTGTAAACCTCCTTTCCCCATCCTAGTTTTGGACCTGTAACTTCTGCAGCATGTTCGTTAAAGTCTGTCTGCAGTGGTGATTGGTGAAACGCACAGTGTTTAGAGAGACGTCCATCTGATGAGCTGAGCTGGACCTGACAGCTTTTAGAGATGACCCAGCATTCCTCATTTTCATCACCAAACTGGTAGGATTTGAACCCTTAACTCCCCCCTCCCCCCAGCCCAGCAGTAGAGCTCCATGAACTGTAATGATTAAATGCAGTCTAGTCTGTGAATTGAATAAAAATAGCATGGGACAGTGGTACCTCCCTTTCAGAGCTCCACCTGTTGGCGGTAACGTTGCCATGCAGTAGTTCAGCAGCATAGTGACCACATCAGCCCTGGATAAGTACAGTTAATGGGATGTAACATCCTTGCAGCATTTATGCACTTGACCCAAAGGTTGTACTTTGTGGTTTCTTTTTTATTGCTAGGTAAGACGGCATTTGGAGTGGGATGACCTTCCAAAGAAATCCTTTTAAATATAAGCACTGGTAAAACATGCACAACCTATAAAACAAGCCTTTTGGCAAATGATAACTCTCCATAACGCTAAAAGAACACGTTTCTCTGTACAGCGTGTGGTGTTCATATACGTGCAGGTCACACTGCGTCATCAGCGAAGGCGGTAAAACACAGGAGAAACAAACGGCTGTGCCACAAGCCCGGTCTGTGTCCTTGGCAGCTACAAACGGCTGTGCCACAAGCCCGGTCTGTGTCCTCGGCAGCTACAAACGGCTGTGCCACAAGCCCGCTCTGTGTCCTCGGCAGCTACAAACGGCTGTGCCACAAGCCCGCTCTGTGTCCTCGGTAGCTACAAACGGACGAGTCTTTGGCCACAAAACGCAGGAGGCAATCCGGTTTTGTGTTTCCTCTTCCCCCTCCACCCCCCCGGAGGCTGCGACAGGGACTGACCAGGAAACGTCGCATTAAAGCCACATGAAAAAAAATCATCAGCGATAATAGAGCTTCTCAACTAAACATAAGTACTGAATACAGCTATATACATGCAGTCAACTCAGTGAAGAACATGATGGCCATCGTTACAGAAAGGTAGACTCAGGACGCTCTTCCTAATGCTCTTATTCTTCTCAACAGCACAACACCACCAACTTCTGGCCCAGCTTCTCATGCTCAAACACCAAGAGGAAGAGGTTCTGGATAAACAACCAGAGTGTAGCAGTAGTGTCCATGCATGTGTGCATACTGTAACATTGATGTGCAGCCACCAGCCTCCAGCACCTGCGATGGAATGCAATTATCACAAACTCATAGCCACCAGAAGGTCCTCATCTTCACCCCCGTCATCCTCAGCCTTTTAGTGACCAGGTCAGGAGCAGATTTCAGTCAGGGTCATGTGACCCTGATATACCCAAAATGATTTTGCACAGATGTTCTGAAGGGCTGCTTGTCAGCTAACCTAGCAGTCATGCTTGTGACTGTACGGCCACAGCGAGGGGTGTCAGGTGTAACCCGTCATTTTCAGCTCAGTCCGCCCTGGTGCCAACTGCTGCTACCAGGGCATCACCTGAAACATTTGTCCAAAAGTCAAAGACCCATGCCCTACTAGTGCTCCTGACCATGAATGACTTCGCATCCTACTCAGAGAGGAAAGAGACATGCTCTGTAGAGCAGTGTTTCTCAACCCACTCCTTGTGAACCCCCTACACAGTCAAAAACACCATATACCAGGAATGTGTATCTTGGGGGCTGGGAGGGAGCAAAAATGTGGACTGTTTGGGGTCCCCAAGGACTGGCTTGAGAAACACTGCTATAGTCTCTCACTCTGACCACACACTGATACATGCAGGTGCTGGCAGGCTGAGCACAAAGAGACTAGAACACACGGGTCATACATGAGCTGGGAGCTTTCATCATGGCATGAACATAGGCCTGGTCAGAGCTCTGACTGACTCCTCCGGATGAGCAGCAGTGACACTACAGTGAGGCCGGGAAAGCCCACACCTGTCTCTGCATGTAGCTACGATGCTAAAACTTTTAAATATAAGCCAAATCCACTGGATCTCAAGCCAGTGGTTCATTCCAGTGCCCAAGGAATACAGCATGCAGATTTATCCCTGACTGGGTGCCATGTTGGCAAGGTATTCATCCAAATTGGCTCGCTTCTTACCCTGAGAGGGTCAGAGGTCATTAGCACCGGAGGACAACACCTGAGGTGCAAACTTCCTGTCACATGACCATCTATCAGGGAACGTGACACACCGACAACTCAGACCCTCAGCCGTGCAAAGCTCTGGCCATCACAAACAACCCATCAACTCATTCAGCAAGGATGAATTCTTTAAGACAGCGGATTGGTCACAAAAAAGAAAAAAATATATACCATTTTGCATTTCTTTCAGATACCTAGATCATATTCATACAGTACTGCTTGCCACTTACATTCAAGTCTGCCAGCTCTACAGCTTCACAGTTGAACAGACCCAGTATGAGATACCGGTTGGTAAAGACAATTGTGCTGTTAATATTGTTGAATCAATATTCTTTAAACTGGGGCTGGGGGATTCAGTCAAGATGTGCTTTCCTGGAGCAGTGTGCTATTAGTTGGCTACGGCCATCCTGCTCAGTACCCAAAGGTGCACTCCTGGACATTTCACTGTGATTCTTAAACAGCTGATTTCCATCCATGTACAGGCCTCAAGTGAAACTTCTGAACAAAAATATACAAAAAGAAAAAACATTCAAAATCCATGTACCAAATCATAAAGCCCTCTATTGACAGATAAATCCTATCATATACCAAACATCTTAGAATCTGCCTACATGTGTATCTACGCCAGATACTAGCTAACATTCCAGTTCCTCCTTTGCTGTGATCAATCATTTCAGCAATTCAAGTTGGGCAGGATCAAAGAACTCTCAGAATGAAGAACTTTATGGTGCACTTTGTGGGTCTTTAAGAACCTTTTTATGGTTACGGTAGTCATCCCAGGGCCTACTGAAGTGACCTCATCCAGTTTCTGCCATTTCTGGTTCTTGACTTTGTGTGCTTCTATGGTGTATTCATAGTGAAGCATATCGGCCATTGGGATATGTGCTGGAGTGAGAAGATGAACTCCAACCTGCAATATGGCGGCATGCCCAAGCTCACAGCGACCTCACACTTCGATTCCATTACACATGCTGCTGATTTCTCTCTCACCGTCTGTCCCTAGACTTCACCCGTTTGATTGTAAAATAACAGCTGGAAAAATTGCAATGCTTTTAAGTTCAAAGTCACAAGTAACCTAATATGCAAAATACCACATTTACCGCAATTACGTCATGCCCATATAATAGTAATCAGTGTTGGGCATTTCAGGTCCAGAAACTACAAACCCAGACCAAGATTTTATTTCTACCAACCAGCTGAGTGCTCTGTGACTGTGACTTCATGCTTAACTGGTTGGAAGAAACAAAATCTTGGTCTAGGTTTGTTGTTTCTGGACCTCAAATGCCCAACCCTGATAGTAATTATGACTCCGAACAATTTGAACTTCTGTCTTTCATTTGACCTTGTTACCCCAAGTCTTGACCTTTGATCTGACCAGTGTGTTTTAAGATTGTGGGAGTAGGTGGGGGGGAGGGGGCACTACTGAGGACGCCATCAGAAACATCCAATCATGTCTGGCTGCTTTTTCCACATTTTTACTCAACATGCTGTGTGCTCAGAGAATGGCACAAATTCAGCACCGCTTCTAAACATGCCCCCCCACCCCAGCACTAAGAATTGATCCCATCAAAGTAAAACAAGGTAAAAGATGTACAGCTCTTTGACTGCCACGTGGTTGGTCTTCCTACTCAGTTCCTTCAAGACATGTTTCATGCAAAACAGTAACTCCTTTAAACAAAGAAATACACAAATCATTATACTTTAGGCTAAAAGAGGCGCACTTTCTTTTCTGCAGTTTTTTTTCTGTTTTGTCATTTACAGGACAGGCACTGGCACCAGGTACAAAGGCATGCCAGATTTGCATTGATTCTGCAGACTACAAATTGCGAGCATGATGTCATTATGGCAGCGCATGTCTCCACGTGCCTCTGCTGGAGAGCCAGTGACAGGTCATGGATTTGGGATGCTACACTGCCGCAATGACATCACGGGTGACAAGTTCAAATGTGGGGGAGCCTCAGTGGAGCATGCAGAGGCGGTCAGACTCCAGGGGGCGAGCTATGACACAAGGCAAGTGAATTTTGAGGTGAACGACTTCAACTTCACTTTTCAAGGTATTCTTTTTTTTTAGTTTTTTTTTTTCTTCTCTTTTTACAGGTATGTAACAAATCAGGCTCATTGTACTCTACTCTCTCCTGCTGGTTTTGGCTTGGTGTGGAAACAGTAAGTGGAGAGAGTTCTTGGGCATTTTGGTATGTAATGTACATCTACATACATGTATGCATAAATAAGTTCAGGCGTGGAGATACGCAGCCCATATGCATGATGCTTTTCCTTTTACCCGCATTCGTCACTATTTCAATGCTGTGTTTTGCAATCTAAATGTCAGTGACAAACAGCCATTAACAGTGTGACCACGTCCCTTCTCTGGTAGCTTTTTAAAGAGAAGTTACCTGTTATTAAAGCATGCTTCTTACAATGGCATAGTGCTGCAGCATATCCAGAAAGTTCCACAAGAAAACTTTTAATATTAGAACCAACATTGAGTCAGTTCCTTATGGTACAAATAATCAGTCGATTAGATTAAAAATGAATTAATTTCCATTAATTTCTTAATGAGCCATGCATATGTGTGTACATGCATACCCAAATCTATGTACGTACACACTTGTGCACAAAAGAAAAGTTTAAATTAAATAAATAACAAGCCTTCCATTTTCACATTGATCAGTTTGCTCTTTATGTTTGTTAATGTTTCATTGTGTTTGTGTCAGTCCCCTCCCCCCCCACACACACAGAGGCAGTCATGCACACACACATGTACACACGCACACACACACATGCACGCACGCAGTCACCCTCGTCCCTCGTGTGTCTGGCCATGTTGTGGAGGGAAGGGGCGGGGGTAGGGGGGCTCCATCATCGATTGTCAGAGTGACACGTGCCAGTGCCATCTTCACCTCCCACCGCGGATGCACTTCCCGGATCCGGCGCCTCGGCACAGCACCAGAGCGCTCCAGCCTGCGGGGGAGGGGTGGAGTCTCTCAGCCTTTGAAGAAGAGGAAGAGGAGGAGGGGCGGACGAAGAGGTGGGAGGCACGGGTGTCGCTCTGTGCGAGATGTACTCTCCCCTCGTTGTTTGCAAACACGGAGAGAATATACTGCTGTGCTTGAGTTGTCACTTTCGGCAAACGGCTCAGAAAGGAGTGAGAACAAGATTAGTGCGTGTCTGACAGCGATGGGGGGGGGGGGGGGCTGGGTGTGCCCCCGACATCGACCAGAGTGGGGGTGTGGCCCACCTCTGAAACCCACAGGCCCCACCCACTGATCCCTCCACGGGGGTCTGACGATGGTGGAACTGCAGGGAGGGGTCATCAGGAGAGTAGGGGGTGGGGGTGGGGGGGTGGAGGGTGATGGGAGGGGTTGCCTCCAAGAAACAATTATCTCACATGTTGCTCGGGATGGAGAGGCTTGGGGAAAGGTGAGATCGATGGGACAGATTCTGCAGTTATGTAAACAACAAAGAACTAGTAAATAGAAAATAAAATCTGAGGAAGTCAAACAAAAAGAAAAAAAAAATCAATAAAACGCTGGTTACTTAGTATGACTGATAGTAGTAGTAATATAGTGATGAGGCGCAGTGGAGGGGGCAGGCCTCAGCTCGCTGGCTGAAGATCTACTCCTCACGCAGCTGCAGCCGGTAGCGATGGTAGCGGATCTGGAAGAACATCCTCTCCAGCAGCGAGTGGCTCATGCCGGGCAGCGTGTGCTCCTCGCTCTCGCCGGCGTGCCGGAAGCCCAGCGACTCGTACAGCTTGTGGGCGGCCGGCTTCACGGCGGTCGTGCCCAGTACCACGGCCGAGTAGCTGTTGTGCACGGCGAACTCCAGCACGCGGCGGCCCAGTGCCTTGGCGATGCCCTTCCCTCGGAAGCGCGAGTCCACCGACATGCGACGCAGCTCCACCGTGTTGTCCTCCTCCCGGCCCTGCGCCGCCACCATTCCCACCACGCTGCCATCCAGCACCGCCACCCAGAAGCTGGAGCCTGTGGACAGGTGGGGGGGGAAATGTCAGTGCCATCAGGAGCAGCACTGAACCTGAGAAGTTCCTCTGTTTGCTCCGTGGATCTAACCCGTTATTGTGCATAATATTGTAATTGTTATGCAAAATTTACATTACGACTCCATATTAGGTCATGGAGTTCCTTATTATCAGTGGATGCAGGCTCCTCTGGTTTTGGACCAAAAGATCCTATCGCCCTTTGCTACAGGCCTACAGCTTCCATCTGAAGACGTGCTCCCTGTCCACACAGAGCAGGATCACCCACTGGCCATGTCTGAAACCCAGTGGGCTCCGGTACAGTGAGAAACACGTGGAGCAGGTCAGGACACATGGACACAAATGAACACAGATCATCTGTGCATACAGGAGGGTTTATCTGGACAAGATGATCGGTCAGACCACAGTCACATAAGCAACGTAAAAGGTCACACACGGAAGGAAGAGTGACACCAAAACACAGACTGAGACATGATAACAGAAGTGATGAGTGAGCTCTAAGGGGTCCCTCAGCAAGAGTGCCTGCTCCCTCTTACAGCTGCACGCTGCGACCCTCAGCTCAGCAAGTCACTGTCAGCTTCCCAAGATGCTTGTAGAACAGTATGGGTGTCTGCATGCTATATAAGCCTCTTAGTGTCAAGTAACCTCAAAGTGACATCATATGACAGGTTATCTGCTTAACAAAACAAAAATCCATAACCGTCCACACAGACCAACCAAGCAAAACATACCGAAGCACCCACCCATTTTCTAATTACTGTGCCCTGTGCTCTGTCGCAGCCCAGGCTGGGGCTGTGAGCACACTGAAGGGGCCGACAGCGAGAATGCAGCCTCTCATTCCAGGGGGACTGCCGTCACGCCCTTCAGCACGGTACTTAACCCAGATTGTCTTCATATGCTCAGCTACGTAAACCTGCCAGCCTGGAACAGGGAGCGTGCAGCTTCTCCGTCTGGCTGGGTCCGTAATTACCCACGATTCCGGATGCAGATTGAGTGCATCACACCACCCTAATCACGTTAAACCCGGTCTATAAGCATCATAGCTCCCCTTCCAGCCATGCTGGACCAAATTAGTTTTAGGTGCATCTGCAATCATAAACATGTAGGAAAGATTGCTAAATGTTTATTTCATAACCCCCAAAGCAAATTAATGTAATATCATCTTTTAAGTAATTGTTACATTCTTAATCTTTTAATTAACAGATCGCTTCTACATTAAGGTCATTATTAATTTATCCCCCTGCTTGTGAAAACTGCACAAATGTTGGCACAGATGTACTTGAAACTGTTTTGTCATTTAGTTTGGTCATTATTCCTTTATGCCAGATTTAGAAACTGCTTCAGATTTGTGCCCACAAAGGTGGCTTCTGAGAATCGAATTCACAAGAAAATGGAGGCACCTAGAATCAGGTGACCATATTGCATCTTCTATTATTGTTATAAGTTGATTAGTCTACACGCCACTGAGATGAAGTGTGGCCTGGTTATAGAATCGGGGACGTGCCATGGCAGAGCAATGAGGCACCGGTTCCATGCAGGTGTTCCACATGGGCTTGAAACTTTTTGAGCAGTCACTCTGTACTATTACACTATTAAACCTTTTGAGCAGTCACTCTGTACTATTACACTATTAAACCTTTTGAGCAGTCACTCTGTACTATTACACTATTAAACCTTTTGAGCAGTCACTCTGTACTATTACAGTATTAAACTTTTTGG